ACCTCAACAAAATGGAGTTAGTGAAAGGAGAAATATATACATCATGGAAATGTCAAGATGCATGCTGCATGAAAAGAATTTGCCAAAGAAGTTTTGGGCAGAGGCAGCAAATACTGTTGTGTTTCTTCAAAACAAACTTCCCACAAAGGCAGTGAAGGATCAGACACCATTTGAGGCATGGTATGGTTACAAACCATCTCTGAAATTCCTTAAAGTATTTGGTTGCTTGTGTTTCACTCATGTTCCACAGAGCAAGCGTGACAAGCTTGATAGGAAAGTTTCACTAGGTATCTTTATAGGCTACAGTACTGTCAACAAGGACTATAAAATTTCCAGCTACAAACTGGAAATATTGTTATTAGCAGGAATGTTCACTTTGTGGAGGATGAAGAGTGGAGCTGGGATGATGCAGAGAAGAAGGGTCAGACTGTGGCAGTGCTAAATCACAAGTTTTCTGGTTCAAGCATTGACGAAGAAGATGACTGGCAGAATGAAACAGTGGATGATGCTTCCGTGAGAGGAACAAGGTTGCTCTCAGATATTTATGAAATGTGTAATATAGCTGTGTGTGAGCCTGCCGACTATGTCGAAGCAAAAAAGGATCAAAGGTAGATAGCTGCAATGGAGGAGGAGCTATCAATGATAGAGAAAAACAATTCTTGGATCCTTATGGATAGACCTCAAGACAGAAAGGTAATTGGAGTTAAGTGGGTGTTTAGAACCAAGCCTAACGTCGATGGCTCGATCAATAAGAACAAAGCTAGGCTTGTGGTTAAAGGGTATGCCCAAATCTTTGGTGTTGATTACTCTGATACTTTTTCTCTTGTTGCTAGATTGGACACAATCAGGTTACTGCTTGCAATAGCTGCACAAAAGGACTGGAAAGTGTTCCAGTTGGATGTCAAATCGGCTTTTTTAAATGGTGTCTTACATGAAGAAATTTATGTGGAGCAGCCCCAAGGATTTGTGAAGGAAGGTGAAGGAGATAAAGTCTATCTTCTCAAGAAGACCCTTTATGGTCTAAAATAAGCTCCAAGAGCTTGGTATAGTAAAATTAATTAATATTTGTTGAACTTTGGTTTTGTGAAAAGTCCATCAGAAACAACCTTGTATGTAAAGCATAATGGTACTGACATTCTTATTGTTTCATTGTATGTTGATGACCTACTAGTTACAGAAAATAATACATATCATATTCAAAATTTCAAACAAGAGATGATGAAGGTGTTTGAAATGACAGATCTCGGGTTTATTTCCTACTTCTTTGGCATGGAGATTAAGCAAGGGCAAGATGAAGTTTTTATCTGCCAGAAAAAATATGCAAAGGAAATACTAAAGAAGTTTCAGATGGAAGAGTGCAAGGCAGCAAGCACTCCAATGAATCAAAGGGAGAAGTTGTGCAAAGAAGATGGTGCTGACAAAGTTGATGAAGGATATTTCAGGAGTTTGATTGGCTGCTTGATGTATCTCACGGCAACAAGGCCATATAGTTTTAATGTTGTAAGTATTTTGTCTCGATTCATGCATTGTGCAAGTGAATTACATCTCAAGGCTGCCAAAAGAGTGATTCGATATGTCAAAGGCACAAGTGATTTTGGTATTAAGTTCAAAAGGTGCAAGGAGTTGAAGCTGGTTGGTTTTTTCGGACAGTGACTGGGGAGGTTCCATTGATGATATGAGGAGCACTTTAGGCTACTGTTTTACTCTTGGCTCAGGTATTTTCTCTTGGAGCTCGAAGAAGCAAGAAATTGTAGCTCAATCCACTGCCGAAGCAGAGTTTATTGCTGCAACAACTACTGTTAATCAAGCTTTATGGCTAAGAAAGATTTTACTTGATCTTGATCTGAAGCAGAAGGAAAGCACAGAGATCTTTGTTGACAACCAAGCTGCTATTGCTATCTCTCATAATCCTGTGTTTCATGGGAAGACTAAACATTTCAACATCAAGTTATCCTTCCTAAGGAAAGTACAAAATCATGGAGATGTGATTCTTGTCTACTGTAAAACAGAAGATCAAGTTGCAGACATTTTAACCAAACCATTGTCTTCTTGCAAGTTCGAATTTTTGAGGTCAAGACTTGGTGTTTGCAACTCCTAAAGTAAGGAGGAGTGTTAGAAGACTGCTTCACGACTGAAACAAGTCCACACATTTTTTTGTTAAGTTGATTGTGTCAAAGTTTGTTCCTATTTTTTAGGAAGTAGTTATTATGTTATTCATGATATCTAAACATGGAGAAAGTTTAGGATCATATTGTTAGTGGTTAGTTTTTTGTTTATGCTTTAAAAACTCTAACGTTTCTGATTTTTAGGAAGCAATTCTGTTTTTGTTCTTCCAACAACAACGTTCCTTCTCTTCTTCACATTAAAAAATAACAGATTCAATAGATATGAGTTTGGAAATATTAAAGGTCGAAACCAACCTCTAGGTATCAAAACTCGGGCTAAATTTTTTTGAAACCATCAGACCTACTGTTTAAAAAGTTTCAAAATCTTACAGCAGAATTTCAAAACTCAGTATCATGTTTCACAAAATTATCATCTTAACCCCCCTAGTTGATGCCTTAAACTACAAACATATACAAAATACAAATTTCTACGTCAAATACATCAAAATATCAACAAGAAAGAGTTGATACATTAACTGATCATTATATAAGCTAAAGCACATTCAAAATCTACAATTTTAGATCATTTTAGGAGACTGCCAATAATTATAGTCAATAATCCACTTAATTTAGACTTCAATACATAAATCAACTATGTATCAATACTATCAACACATTATTTAGTACCTACAATCGTAATATATATGTTTTAATTCCATAAACTAAACAAATTTGCAAGGAACACATACTAAATACGTTTAAACACCGTAAAGCTTACCAACCATATTTGTAACATAACGACATCATCACACTTGTATATACAAATCAATACAACCATAGTTTTGACAAATACTCAAAACATTATACGTTCACATGCCATCATCCGATGAACTTTAAAAATAAGATAATTTACACCGAAAGATTTAAAATTTTGACTTATGAATGCAATATGGATCAATCTAATAAAATTGAACTACAAAAACAATCAACCAAATGGATTGAGCTTCGTAAAGTTCGATGAGATAGTCGAGACAAAAACAAAACAAAACAATCATAACAATTTTAATGTAACATATTGGATTTAAAACAAATATAAGCATTTAGCATAACATAGAAAAGAAAACCATTGAAATACTACAATGCAAGTTTCACAAAGTTTCAAAGCGTTTAGAGGTACATTTATTGATTTTGGTATGTGAATTTACAAATTTCACATCTTCGTCGAGTATCGATACGGTACAAACATTGTAGTTGTTAGGATACATAGTTCAAATAAACAACGTCCCTTTGTCTCACGTTAGAGTTTTAAAATAACTTATGTACAAGCACTATAGACTCCATGGTATGTGGATTGTACCCAAAACAAAACTAATAATCAAAGGCTATTTTAATATATAACTATCAGAAATTTGCCATATACATCAAATTAGCATATAATGCATTATCAATATCAAACAGAACTTTGAGCTCAAACCGACACAATTCCATCAATAACTATGAAGTTTGAAATATCAAGCCCAAGTAAAATAAGTGTATGTACTTACATGATTAATTAACTTATAATTAATAGTTTTTATAATAAGAAAAACAAATCAAAATTATTAATAATATTATAATAACATCATTTACTCACATGATTAATTAACTTATAATTAATAGTTTTTATAATAACAAAAAAAAAACAAAATTATAATAGCATCCTTTGATTGAAAACACAACTTGCAGCTTCAATTTTAAATCTGAATCGACAACATGATATGTTAATTAAAATGACATTATTAAAAAGAATGCCTACGCAAAACAGCCATACAAGACCAAAACCAGGTGCTATTAATGCTCAACCAAGAAAAATGCACAACCAGATTTTAGGATTGTTTGATTAAATCTTAATAAAATCATATTTATCGAGAGAAAAAAATCCAACCAGAACGACAACACTCCAAATACAAGAAAGAAACAAACAAAAACAACAACATTACACGACAACTAAAGCAGCAAAACCAAAAATATAACAAGTGAGATACTGAAGGTGATAGACATTGAAAATGAAAATGGATATACATTAAATGCAAATTTTAGTATTTATATTGATTTTTAATGAACTTTAAATTGATATACTTGCATCATTATACTTTAATCTCGGCTTCAATTATAATATTGGAATGTTAATTAATTAATAACTACCGTATTCTTCATCAAATGACATTTGATGTTGTCGAGTAATTCAAAAAACTATTTTTATTCCATTTTATCATATTCTTCATCAAAGTTAAGAAAATTTCACCCATTTTTAGCCAGCACCAAAACTACCATCATTCGACGTTTTTTTTTTGTAGATATCTTACACTAATAAAATCATCTCATAATTTTTGCCTCTTTTAAAACTCTTTTAAAACTCATGAGATTTAAAAAAATAACTTTTACAGGTTTGAGTGTTTTCTCGTATTATAGAGGTTACAGGTGTTTGTTCAAAAATATGAACAACAAGAAACATTATTTCGAGAAAAGAAATAATATACCTCAAAATTAGCAAAACCAAACGACCATCGATCGGAGGAGATCATAGTATTAGCATGCCAAACCTTTATATGTATTTTTGTCGATTTTGAGTGAGTTTCGTAGAAAATCAATCAAAAAAAGTATGAGCGAAAAAAGAACATTTTAGTACCGATCTTGTTACAAGATTGAAGTAGCTCAATGGTAGAGCGGTCGATGCTAAGGTCGTAGGTTAAATTCCTACTTGAGGCCTATGTACTAGGACTCTCATATACAACCATTGATTGCTATGGACCAAAATCTTACATATACTTATCAGGAGTAGGAAGCGAATGCACTGCCAAAGAGAGTGAATATAATTTGTAGTAGTTTAAAAAAAATGGAAAGAAATTTTATGACCTACAGTTGCATCGAGTCGTAGAGGAAATCAGCATAACCATCAAAATAGATGTCGTCAAAAGGCAATGGCAGCTCAAATCCACCCTTTTCCAAGAATGACCTGTTACCAACATCTTGGTTATAGTCGTAGATATTGTCTTCAAAAAAGGGCTCACTCCAGAAATCTCCGCTGCTTTGAGCTTCATATATTTCTGAAGAAGGAAGATAAGTAGTATATTCTGTACCCTCAGTAACATTTAAGCCAGACATAGATCCACCGCCGGAGATGGAGGAGGACAGTTCAGTAGTTGGGGACACAGGTGAACTCTCTAAGATCATGTTGGCTGGAGTATCAATAAGGTTGCTTTCAGTTTCACCTTCAGAATTCTCGATGGCTTCACTTTGAGAACTAGAGGTATCTTTCACATCAGATGCTGTCGTATTTCCCTGTGTACGCTTCTTTAGATGAGAGTGCCAGTGGTTTTTTATTTCACTGTCCGTTCTTCCAGGTAAACTTTTAGCGATGGTGGACATCTGTTTACGTAAGAAAATTACGTCAGAGATTGTTTGTTAAAAATGTTCTTAAACTCGCAATATGATAATTACGTGCCTGCACAAAGTTACTGTACTCATCATTTAATGAATTAGTGGATGTTAAAATTGAGTCCAACCTGCTTCCACATTGTGCATGTAATTTGATGATCAATGCATCTTCTTCTTCAGTGAAGTTTCCATGTTTTAGTTCAGGCCGTAGGTAATTCATCCATCTTAACCTACAACTCTTTCCGCACCTTTTAAGACCTAAACCAAAACGTCAAAAAAAGATTATTCTAAGAAAAGGATCAGGAGATTGTATACATGAATCAGTTAACAATTAATTAGATATCAAGACGGCAACTATTGAAACGAAAAGCCAATAAAACTTGTTTAGGTTTTTCTGTCAGGAAAAATGCCAAATTAGATGAAGATGATTACAAAAGAAATCCAACAATACCAGCAAATGTAGGAAGAAGACGCCAGTTCCGATAACCGTGTCTCTGGATATAAGATGTTAGTTTTTGATCTTCTTCAGAACTCCATTCACCTTTCCTTAATCCATTTTTATCATAGAAGAGGCCTCTCACCAGCTTCTCTTATAGTAATGTTCTCTCTTCAAGGTCAAGTAATTCCCTATATCTGGTGTGGAGTACAGATTAAACACAATGAAAATAGCCCCTTCTTTATATACCCATAGGCATAGCCCTCACTGAAAACTAAAACGTGTTCGGACTAGTGATATGGAATTGCAACCTCCAATTATCTTAGCAGCAGCATCTTCTTATCCAGCACATGCGTTTAAAATACTTCCAAAATGAGTTAAGAATGTCAAGAGCTTATGGACAACTGTATTAATGTACATTTAAAAGAATTAGATACATTCATCTTATTCACTAATTTTCTCACTAGAAAACCAAAATAGCCACTGTTTTTACACTACTCTCTTCATGCAGTTTGTTCTTATTTCCCTTTATATGAGTCAGATCTCATCTTGTTTTCCTTTTTTATTACTTTTTAAACTGACATTTGATTCATACGTTAAACTACAAAAGTAGAATCCACCTGATTTTTCGCTTCCTAGTACCCAAAAAGTAGAATTGTCTAGATTTTGGCCGAAAAGAGACGCACGTGAATCCGACAAAGTTTGCTGGTTAATTTGAAAACGTGACAAAACCGAGGAATTATTATAATGTCTGGGGTTGATTGGTTTAAGGAATTTGATATTTTCATGGGAATAAAATTTATATTTTTATGTTTAGTTGGCCGGTAATCTCATTTTTGGTAATGTTTTATTATCAATAGTAGATTTTTTGGGGTATATTACCGGGAATGTCATTACCTCCATTTCCTTAGGTATTGTTAGATTACCGGTGTTTTGGACTAAAATACCCTTAAATTTTTTCTCTCTTAAAAATATTATTCTTCTGTCATTGTCATTGTATAATAAAAATTCTAAGAATGTTAAATTACAAATTTATCCTTAAACTATTTTAGATTTACAAAAAAAGTCTATAATTAAAATTTTATATGAATTTCAGGGGTTAAAATAAAATTTTATCCTTTCATTAAACTTTTTTATATTTTTAATTTTGTAAAAAAATATATATAAATTTTATGAATTTAAATTTTTTAAAGAAAATATATAAATATTTTCCAACTTGTTAAAAAAAGAAATATATAATAAGGACAATTTGATCAAATAGACATTTCAATAATCTTTTATTCCTTTAACCAAACACGATAATCTTGCATTCCTGCTAAATCAACCAAACACAAAATACAACATTCCTAGTAATCCTATTCCCAGATAATCTTATATTCTCACTGGTAATCTTACATTCTCACTTATAATATTACATTTCGTGAACCAAAAGCAGCCTTAGATGTAGAAATATAATATGTTATTATCTGAAGCAGCTGACATTTAAAATGATTATTGTATCTTTAATATTTAAAACCCAGATGAGGAAATATAAAATTGATTATTATCTGTAGCTATTTAATATTCCAATATTGCATCTAAAGTACTGAAGTTGGGGAAACGTGCATGACCTAAACCGAGGCATTGTTTTTTAAAAAAAAAATCAAAATAACACCTTAAAAATATTACTTTATTTGTTTAGGGTTTTTAGATAAGGGTTTTAAAGGTACTACTTAATTTGTTTAGCGTTATATTTGAATAATGATAATTGAATTTCATTAATAAAATAAAAAAATAAATCGAAATTACAACGTACTCAAAGAGAAAAATTGAAACAATAGTCACAAAAAATCTCATACAAAAAACAAAAGTATATTAAACTCAAATATACAAAGAAAAATTAAACAATCCCTTGTCAATGACGATCAACATAAAAAAAAGTCCAATAACCTTCATAAAAATTTGTTCTCTATCGGACGAGACACTTTATGAAGTGGTAAAGGAGTGGTGAGTGAATCAAATTATCTGACAATCTGCTTCGCTACACAATTCTAATTATATCAATAAAATGAATTTAGTAATATGAAAACTAAATAAATTGAATAAAAATAAAATGATAAAGAAGAAAAGTAAATAGTTGAAAATAATGATGACGAAGATAGCCTCAAGCGTTGCTTTGCCTAAATTCCTTTCAATCACTGAAGGGGGTTTATTTCGGGATTCTTATTGGTTACAATCTACAAGGGGTCCAACCCTTGTAACTTACTCTTATCTTTGGTGAACTAATTGTCCAAAATCAATCTTCGAATTTCATTCCTTGTTTGGACTAATTACAGCTATCGCCATTAGTGCCAAAGCAGCTTTAAGTGCCAGAAAAGCCCGTGCTCGGATTATGGTATCTCATTAAGAATCAATCATATCTAAATTTCCCTTAGCGGATTGCCGTTAAGTGTGTTTTTACGAAGTTGAATTTGCTACCAGCTGACTCTTCTTCCTAACGGTAAATCAAAACAACGTTCAAATTAATGTGCACTTTTTGAATTGAAAACGTTAAGATTTTTAAATGAAAAACCGATTGTGAATCCAAGTCTGCAAAAAATCAAGAAATATATCCTAAGGTATGAGGTGTTTTTCAATTCTCACGAAACGAATTAAGTCATTGCTAAGCCATCGCCAATTGAAAAATTAACTAAGCATGATAAAAATCATGCTTAGCATTTTTAAAGGAAAATAAAATAAAAGCTTAAAATAAAACATAGATAAAAAGAAGAAAACTTTTATTAAAGTAAAAACCCCATGTATAAATAAAAGCCAAGTGCATTTTGAATAATACCCTAAAAGTTATTTATAATTTTCTAAAGCCCTAAAGATGAAACAAATAATTCAAAAATAATCCTAAAGATAATAATATTCAAAATAAAATAATCCCAAAAATATTTTGAATTTCAAATAAATTTCAATATAATCATATGAAAATCTTCCAAAATACTGATTAGATTGTCTTTTAGAAGTCCTTGTTGACTGGATAGTTTGACTCTGCCACGTTGATGAAGTGTCATGCCTCACGCCGTGCTCATGTCTTCAGTCAAGATCAAATAATAATAATAATAAATACATAATATGTCATTTTTACTATTAGTTCTGGAAAATAGATTTAAATCATCAATATCATAGAGACAACAAAGAGTAATTAACGACGAAATAATAACAAAATAAATCACTAATCACTTGATTTGAATATATTACATTAAATTAAATTCAAATTTAATTAAACATTAGTTTAGTGACAACGTACACATTTCATAGATCACGAGTCAAAGTTCTAGGCTCATGCAAACTTAGGTTCCTAGGGGGTATTGAGCAACACATTAGAACCACAAAGCCCAAGTGAAATTACACTCGCCGCTATGCAAGAAACCCACATCCACGAGTCAAGTCATCAAATAAATAGAAATCTAATCGAGTTAGGATTCAAGAATCCAAGATAGATTTCGAGTAAGACTTTACATTGTGGTAGGCATGTTTTGAGTTGTATTAGAACTTTGTCTAGTGGATAAGTTTTTTAATCATAGTTGATGGAGTAAATAGTGTTCAAGATTGATTAGGACACCATCTATTGTAAGAGAACTTTAGTGTAAATAGTGACTCTCCTCACCTCAATTGTCATCACGAAATATACGAGCAAATAAAAATTAACACGAGTATTTTAGGGCCTTAACCGTCCAAGTTCAAAGGCCGGCTTAGACACATAAGTCTTGTCCATGTGCCTATACAGTTTATTAAATTTGAATCTAATCTTATGATATATACTGTCAAAATAATTATTCGAACTTGAATCCCCATAAACATTAATATTCATATTTTCTTATTAATTTCATCAAAATGGGTTTTTTTAGCACGACAATCATTTTATTAATGTTAAACATCACAAGACTCAAACTAACAATGTCCTATATAAGAGAGAATAAAAAAATGTCAAACGTCCAGACAATAACACTTAAATACACCTCAAATGAAAACAACCACAACGATAATAAAATCTTATGCGTAACACGAGACATTAAACAACCAACCCAAAGATAATACTAAAACCACTACACTTGACAACCCCCATACGATAGCAACCGCCTTGGATCCTTGTCGATAATATACACCAATGAAACCCAAAAAGTTTTTTTTATGTCTCTAAGTGAATATATCCATGCACCGTTTTTACTTTTGTGTCTGTTAAGGCCGAATGACATAATGTTTATTATATTCCTTCACAAGGTGGTCGGCATGGATATTCAAGTCATGATAAACAGACAAGAAGATGGCACTCAGATCTGCATCATGCTTCAAGTTAATCTAATCTTGCCTGGATAAACTAACAATTTCATTTATATTTCAAGTCAGTAACTTACATTTGAATAATGTTATTTTTATTTTTTTCATTTTAAATGCTCTTTTATCTACCGATCAGAATTATCTTTAAAAGATAAAGACAATGATTACATTTACCTACAAAATTTAAGCTTCAAGTTTTTTTTTCTGCTCTTTCGCTGACATTTTATCCACACGTTAAACAACTTTTCAAAAGTCGAATTCAGTAGATTTTGGCCGAAAAGAAACGCACGTGATCAGTATCTCTCTATTTTCTAGCTAGATCCGACAAAGTTTGCAGGTTAATTTTTTCCCAACGGAAAAACACTAAATTATTAAATTTAATAATAGATGAGATGATTTTTTATTATTATTATGTTTTAAAAAAAGAATTTGAAAACGTGACAAAACCGAGGAGTTATTTTAACCCTAGATGTAGAAATATAATATGATTATTATCTGTAGCAGCTAACAATTGAAATGATTATTTTTTTTTGCTGGGCAGAAGAAATTTTATATTAAATAAATCCTAAGTTAAGAGTCTCTTAAAAACCTCCCTAAATTTAAGTGGAGAAAAAGAGTACTCTTGACTAGGAGCAAAATACAACTCCAAACTATACAAATGAAACAAAACACAATACAAAAGATGATGCCCCTTCAATATCTGAAGCCCCTTACCAAAGGCAAGGCTGGGAGCAATGCAACGTTACAACAACCAACAGACTTAGTGCAACAACAACACCTACAACCGACACTTTAAAGACTTAACACAAACATCATCTCTAGAAACCAGAACAGACAAAACCGGGCTGAAACAAGCAAAGTTAACATCATCTAAAAGAAGAACAGGGAACGACTGCATGCTTCAACAATTCGATATTTTATCAAATCTGAACGATCAAAATTTAAACA